CAAGACCAGATACTACAACCACAAGAAATCCATAAACAACCCAGCCTACGCATGCGAAACTGAACTATCAAAGCACACATGGAACCTAAAAAGACTAAACAAACCATTCAACATCAAGTGGACAATAATCAAATGCGTTCCGGCTTACTCAGCGGGCGGACGGTCATGCAACCTGTGCCTGGAGGAAAAAATGGCAATTCTTAAATCCTCGAAGGAGACGACATTAACAAAAGAAGTGAACTTTTCGCAAAATGTAGACATAAAAACAGATTCAGCGCAAAAAACTTTAAACGCGCGCGCAATTTTTGAATTGTATCAGCGCAAGCATGTCAAAAACGTCATCACACAAACTTTAACTGCTGTAGAGTAATCATTCGCCTGATGATCGTTTCAGAAGAAACGTGAAACACAGAGTGTAGCGAACATATATTCAAATTTTGTAATATTTTATTTTATTTTAATCGCTCTATTAAATTTTGATATCGAGCACTCTTTCTTCTTGGATACTTTACTTAATTGTATATATATATATATATTATATTATATATTATATATATATATTATATATATATATATATATATATATATACCCATTTGCAAAAACGTTGGCCGCAGATAGATAGATAGATAGATACCCGAAATCTAATTAGAATTGCATATGATCACATTTGCATGGGATTTCAATCATATTACACAACATATGCAATTCTAATTAGATTTCGAGTATCTATCTATCTATCTATCTGCGGCCAACGTTTTTGCAAATGGGTGTATATATATATATATATATATATATATATATATATATATATATATATATATATATATAATTTCATGAAAATCATGAACACAAACTACGAACTCAATTAATCTGTCAAGGATCATTCTTCTCTAGTATCTCGAAATTCTCTTTATCACAAGTGAACACGATTTGGCCAGCCTGTCAATCCAAACTACCGAGAAACATTTTTAACTTCGCAATTCGTTATATAAACAATTCACTACCGACCCGAAATAACCTGAAGAAATGGGGAATCTCTTCATCTTCTGAATGTTCGTTTTGCCTTCATCGTGAAACGTTGTTACATGTTATTGCTGGCTGCAACTCTTATTTAAACCGATTTACCTGGAGACATGACTCAATCCTCAATCTTATAGCCAATAACCTCCAATCAGAACAAATCCAAGATATTTTCGCCGATCTGCCTTCATATCTGAATCCTTCTATTATAACTGGTGATAGCTACCGTCCTAACTTACTAATCTTGACTAAGGACAACTGTCTGTATGTATTGGAACTTACCGTTGGTTTTGAAACTAACCTCAGAAATAATATAAAGCGCAAATGCTCCAAATATGCAGAATTCATTGTGGAGCAAAAGAAAAAAATTCAGTCAGTAAAGTTCATTAATCTCTCCATCAGTGCTCTTGGTGTCTTCGACAAACAATCTGCTGCTTTCATAAAAATGCTAGAATTAATGTACCCAAATTAAAGTCATGTAAAATATATTATTCGAAAAATTATTAATATTGCTATTAGATCGACATACTATATTTTATGCTGTAGAAACAAAGAATGGTCCAAACCAGATTTGATGAAATTCTAATTTTATATTTAACATACTAAAAAATATATATATAGTATTCTGTAATGTAATTGTGTATTGTAACCATTATCTTATCTCCATATATCAAGTAGCCAATTGTAAATTACCTTTAAAAGAGTGATTTTTAATTGCACGTATAAGAGAAAAAATCAATAAAGTTTTCATTATAGCTATATATATATATATATATATATATATATATATATATATATATATATATATATATATATATATATATATATATACATATATATATATATATATATATATATATATATATATATATATATATAAATATATATTTGGTTTACATCAAGGAAACGTTGAGGGTTAACTCAGATATCCACAACCGTTCAAGTCCTTATGGCTCAATAAACTTAGTTTGCGCACGTTTCAATAGAGAAACAGAAGGTGGACGGACAACTTTAGTTAGATTGTCAAGACTATGGAACAACCTACCAAATGAACTGAAGTCCATTAATAACATAGACACTTTTAGGTCATCTTTGAGAACCTTTTATATTGACATCTTTAAGAATATATGGACCATTTTAAAGTATTTTAAATTCTTATTAGATCCTTAGCTATTAAATTCTTGCTATATACGTATATGCATGCTTATTCGCAGCCATTTGTCTTGTATTTATAGTTAGGAGGGCCGCTGGTTTATCAGTTTCACTGTCATGCGTTCACCCTCATTAATAAAGTTGATTTGATTTAAAGTTGATTTTATAATAGGAGTATTATTGTCGTAATAAGTAATAACCTGACGAGCGCGGTGTTTATTTTTTGTAATAACTTGTTATGCGGTTTTTATTCTCCGTTATAACCTTCAACCCGGCATTCAAAACCTGCATTTCCCCCAGAGAGATCAAATACCACCTGCTTTTTAG